CCAAACCCATTAGCTATTTCTGCTTTTGTATTTTTGATTTGTTGGCTAGTCTTACTCATGTAGTATAACTTTATACACCGATCAGTCTCCTGGTAGAACCCTTCATCAAAATAATCATGCAGATATTCGATTGATCTACGAACCGGATTTTTTGGTAAAGTCACAGTAAAGTCATGTGGCTTATCGGTAAAAGAAATTTTCTTCCAGGTGTCTCCACAACCATGTTGCTGCAGATTTCGCTGTCTCGTCATAGTGCAAGAACGTCCTCTGAGTGATAGCATTCACTACGAAGTAGTACCACGAGAAGTAGTGCTACGAGAGCGTCCCGTATTTGGGATCGTTACCTGACTTAGAGGTTCAAGTTCCATTTCATTGCCCGACACTTCAGAATTGTTGCCCTCACGTAAAAGGTCACCGAGAACACGTAGCTCTGCTTCAAAATTTCTTTGTCGTGGAATTCTTCAATGTACGACTCGGTCCCATCCCCAAAGAGTTCCAAGATACGGTTATTAGATATAGGAAGCACTAAACAAAGCTACAATACCATATTTTAATTAATAAACGAGAAACTACGTTGAAATCAATTTGAAGTTAGTCGTAATTTGTTTCTTACAATACTTACTTATACTTATACTTACTAATAGTTTAACTTGCAATACTAAATAGCAAAAATAGTTCAAATTTCATTTGATTGATGTTTTAATAATAAAATAAAACAAAAACTCTAAATATAACAATACACAATATAACACAATACTTACACGTGCCGCCGGTCGAATCAAAAAACGTGGTCATCTTATACCTCCGATCGAGAGGCAAACTAACAACCTATTCAACGACTCAGGCGTTACTATGCTTGAGTACACATCTCTCAGGATCAGTCGTGGTCGATTGCGTTTGCAGAAATGAATTTGCGTGGTCTTGAGATTTTTTGTTAGTTACCCGCACTATCGTATACCGTCGGGTGTAAAGGGCTATATAAAAAAGACCTTATTCACAGTTAAGCTTATACACTCCTGCATCTTGTAGAGGGATGTTACACTTGATGGATTGTAAGAACTGGCTAATCTTCTTTTTTATGTAGGAATAGGGTGACAAACGAGCACACAGTCCACCTGATGGTAAGTGGTTGCTGCGGCCCATAGACATCTACATCTATCCTCTATTACAAATAAAAATGCAGATGCGTTGTCATCCGTGAGGACTAAGATGGAATGCCTCGTTTCCAGTAAAAAGGGCCTCCGGCCACCTGCACTCACCAAGCGAAACGCAGAGATAAGCCTCTACTTCACGCTGGTATTCTGTGAGGTCGTGGTACCACCCCGGTTCGAGCCGGCCCATCCGTGCAACAGCAAAAGCTGCCGCGTGGCTCTACCACTGTTAAAAACTGTTCTTCAGCGGCGCGTAGAATGTTCTGATAGAAGCTCGCTTCAAGATGTAGCCAATCTTGTCTTTAACTCCTCTGACATATGTTGGTACAGCAACAGCAGGCACACGCTCGACTGTGGCCGGCTTTAAAATTTAACCTTTAAAAAAATTAAACGCGATAAAATCCGTAAAAATAGTTTTATTCTTATATCATACTTTATACCATCTAAACTTCCTAAATATCCTATTTCTAAGATATGCCATATACCTTCCCGCAAAACCAATCTAGGACTAAATTCTTCGTTGCTGAAAATGTGTAGAACATACAATGACCCTTCCAAATCAAACGCAACTATTGACCTACAAAAATCACATTAGTTTTAAATGTACGCCTAATACCATAAATTCAGAGACACAGGCGTATTAATTTATTTAAATTTTTAGTTTTCATTGTAACGATTTGAAGTTCATTTTAATCTCTTGATGTTTTAGTATTTTGTTTTCTTTTGTTTGATTTTACTATTCTAATTTAAGTTACATTAAGTACATGCAGACGCATTTTGTATGTACCTTTAATTGGCATACATAACTGGATTTAAAATCTATAGTATTTCTAAATTTTGTAAATATATATGCTGTTATGTCTTATAAATAAATAAATAAATTAGAATCGTTTTCGACGTGGAGTGTCCCCGTACATCTAGTTCCAAAGGAAATGGAGGCTTCGGGTGAACAAAAATTTAGGAAGGTAATTGTTTACTGACATCTAATATAAATATATAACCACCAAAGAATAATATAGCCACCGACAATAAATATCCTCTGCCGAATTTTAATGATTTATTTAATAAATTAAGCAAGTCAATATACTTTAGTTCTTGCAAATGACTATCATCAAATGCAAGTAGATAAACAATATAGATAAGAAACAGCTTTTGCAATCCCTTCAGGAAATTTCTAGTTTACATGTATGCTGTTTGGACTCAAAACTGCACCCGCAACATTCCAACGCGTCATTTACAACATGTTGATAGGCTTACGAGGTACCCATTGCCTTATCTATTTGGACTATATAATAGTTTATTCCAATATTTTATAAGAGCATATTTGACTGACACAAACAAACTAATTTCAAAGGGATACTTGAAAGGTGTAAATTTCTAAGATAGAAAATAATTTACTTAGGTCACAAAATTACAAAAAAAAATATTTAAAACTCTACGACGATAGGGCAATAACCGATTTTTCTAGTAAGTTATTACTGTTAAAAGTTTTTCAAAAACAACGCAATCTCTTACATCATGTTTAAAAAAGAAATAAAACATAAATAACTATTACATATACATATCTATAGAAGCTTTTCCAAAACGCAAGAAGTTATTTAATGCTCAATAGTTAATGCTCCTTTTCTTCAATTTCCAGATTTTACTTTAATTTCCAAACCCTTTGGGCTGACAACAGATACATCAAATTATAGGCAACAAAAAACCAATTGCATAAGCAAAGTATGATTCATGTAAATGAATAATTCGTCATTTAACTACCGAGTTAAATGACATATGATTGATTTATATGAACCATACGTCATTTAAACGTATGATTCATATAAATGAATCAATGAATCACGGATTCAATAGAAAATGAATTGCTAGCCAATAGCCATAGTGTAGGCATCAAAACTCTTGAGCTGTTATTTGTAGAAGAAATCGTGGACGAAGACTGCAATTGGCAAGAGAACATGTGAACTGGGAACCTCATCAATGGTCGTTAGTGCTTTTCGTCGATGAATCTCGATTTGGTTTTCATCCTGATTCGAGAAGAGTATGTGTTTGGAGAGTTCCTGGTAGTGCAAGCCGGCTTCAACACTCAAAAAGTCCATCCATACCAAGGTAGTATGTACAATTATGGTGTGTTCGTTTTGGTGGAAGAAGTCATTTAGATACAGGGCACTATGACCGCTTAAAAATAACGTAATGAGGTGCTAGAAACAATAGTCTTGCCATATCGAACACAAATAGGTATAAATTCCCTGCTTATGCATGACAATGTCCGTTTATATACGGCGAGGTTGATAACAGCCTGGTTGCGCGAACATGATTTCACAGCCCCAGATTTAAATGTCATTGATCATGCTTTGGATATGCTTCAAAGAAGAGCTCTGAAGGATTTTCCTAAAAATTTAGTTACAGCAGTTAAAGTTAAAAACGTTAGTAGAACCTTTTGTGCATCTCAGTAGAACCTGCGACAGTATTCCTCAACAGAATATTGAGAACCTCATTCTGAGTACGCAACTGATGCAGATGCGTTATTAATGTCATTGTGCTTTTACTAATCATTAACTCTTAATTACTCGTAATAGCCGCCTATATAAGGCAGTATTTAATTTAAAAATTAAACTTTCATATTATGCAATTTCCACACTTACGTTTTTACTCTGTATAATAATTTGAAATCTCATTGTCTAAATGGTGGTCTTGCTGAACTATTGCACTATTGAACTGCTGAACTAATTTGGGGTTCTATTGAAGTTACAATAAAACACTACGTACTTGATCTGAATTCTTCTATTTAAATATTTGATTTATTTGACTATACACTTTACTGGTGGGAAAAATGATAGCTCGTGTTTAAATCGCACAGCGCCATTTACATTTCGTTATTGCTACTAATTATATGGTCTTAAACATTCCGCCCACCAAAGACATTTAATGACGGAAATGGCCTTAAAAATACAATACCGCCCACCGTGGCAGAATGATAAAATTGTTCTTGGCATACTGAACTTAAACTTAAAAATAGCATTTCAACTAAAACTTAAATGATAACATATGTAAAACTTAACTTAGATATTAACTTAATTGAATGTAAATATTGTTAAACTAAAATTGTTGCAAAAAAAAAAACTATTTAACTTATACTTAATCACTTATGTTAAGAAATGCAATTGCAAATGCAAATGCAAATTATTCTATTACTATCTTTGCTGTCAATAAAGAAACTTCCGTATAGCCATCACAGTCAACGAATTTTACATAAACGACAGCTGCGTATGCTGATTTAGATGCGTCGCAGAAGCCATGCAATTTAGTGTTGGTGTCCATCGTTGAAGTGCCTAACCATCGTGGGGCTCTTACTGAAGTGAGTTGTGGTAACTCATTACGGTAAGTATTCCAATCTTGTAATAAATAAGCTGGAATTGGTTCATCCCAACTTGTCCCTGCTAGCCATAACCTTTGAATCAACATCTTTGCTAAAATAATGCTTGGCGCGATCCATCCTAAAGGATTGTATAGTCGTGCTATAATTGATAATATTGTTCTTTTTGTTTCAGGTCCAGTCGTCGTCCTCGGAAGATTCACTGAATAACGAAAACGATCTTCACGTCAGTCCCAGGTAATACCTAAAATCTTTGTTGTGTTCTCTATTTTGACCTCGATTTCTTTGTTGTCCTTCAAGCTTTCAGTTTCCTTTAGTTTTAGTATATTGTGTATGTCCTGTATGTTGCCTTCCTGCATTTCCCTTCTCTGTTTGTACTCCCTCAACATGTCCTTATCAGGTGTGTCTTCTTCATTCATGTTTGCTAGCTTCTCATTTATGCTTATTTGTGATAATAGTTCCTCATTGTTGCTGTTTCATTTTTGTAGCTTAAATCCACCTCTAGCCAATAGCTCCGTCATTTGCTTATAAACTTCCACTCCTTCCTTGACGTCGCAACATCCTGTCATTAGGTCATCCATGTAGAATGCCTGTAATACCCTTGGTGCTGCCAATGGGAAATTCTCGCCCTCATCCAAGCTGATTTGGTTCAATACTCTAACGGCTAAATAAGGAGCGGATGTAATTCCAAAAGTCACAATCAAGAGCTCATAATTTTCTATTTCACTTTCAGGGTTCTCACGCCACACAATACGTTGGAATTTTGTGTTGTCTTCAGCTACTCTGACCTGCCGATACATTTTAATAATGTCAGCTACCAGCACAATCGGATCAATTCTCCAACGCATTACTAAGTGACGCAAATCTGCCTGTAGTCTGAGTCCTATTATCAAAGTTTCGTTAAGCGAAACACCATAATTATTTTTACTTGATGCATTAAAAATAACTCTAACTTTCGTAGTTGTAAACAGCTTCATTAATTTCATTTAAACGTCTCATATGAACAATCGTAAATACTCATTTATGACCTCCGTGTAGCTATTCTTTAGTTTTAAATCCTTTTATAGCCTTTTCTCTAATGCCTTACATTTTGTTACAGCTATTTGTCTCGAGCCACCACCCAAACAACGCGGTTGGTTGTCCCCAAATGGCGGTTTCACTATGTAGCGGCTTTCGACCGTTCGTTTTGTTGTACTTGTAAATATTTCTTAACATTTTTGCTCTTCTTCTGACCACATACTTTTTGTACTTCTAGGTTGTTCTTCTAATTCCCAAAAATGTGTTTTTACGTGGTAGAGCCATGCTGCAGTTATATTAGTAGTATAGTTGTAGCACGATTGGGTCGGCTAGACCGGGGATGGACCACGCTCTCACAGAACACCAGCGTGAAATAGCAGCTTCATGCTGCTGTGTTTCGTATGGTGAGTGAATGGCATTCTATCTTAGTCCTCACGGGTGACAACGCATCTGCATTTTGATTCGCAAACGAGGATAAATGTAGATGTCTATTGGCCACAGCAACTACTTACCATCAGGAGGACTGTGTGCTCTTTTGCTCTCACCCTATCCTATAAAAAAACTGTTTTAATATATCATGTTCGTTTATTTGTGCATGCATTACCGATATTTTAGAATTATCTTTATAAAGCCCACTGCTGTCATTGACTATACCAGACACGATCCAACCTAGAGTGTTTTGTCAATTAAAGATCCGTTGGGACTCCTTTTCACACCATCCATCAGAATTTGGCTGAACACATTAGCTCCAAAAAGCATATCAATTTTGTTAGACACATTAAACTTAGGATCTGCCAGGCATAAGTCTTGTAAGCCTGTTCAGTCAATGGATTGAATTTTTTTTTCTGGAAGATAAGATGTTATGTTCTTTACAACATACGCTTTGAACTGGATTTTATAATTATTATCAATCCGAGACTTAAGATTAATAGTAACAACATATTTTGCCGTTAAAGCTTTATCTTCTCCTAGGCCAGTAATTGTTGCCCTAATAGGACTTTTTTTGAGTTGTTAAAGTTGAGCTGCGGCTTGTTATGAAACAAGCCTGAGAGCCCTGGTCTAAAAGAGCTCGTACTATTTGATTTCCACCAAATTTAGACTCGGCATTTACTAGCGCAGTAGCAAGTAAAACCTGTTCGTACCCTGAGATTTTACGCATCGACAGACACGAGACCATCGCAGAATTATTAGCTTCTGAGCTAGTACACACAACTGACTCTTTGATAGCAGCACCCATATCCACCTTCTCTTCTTCCGGATGTAACAGTGAGTGATGGCGTCTTTTACAAATCCTGCAAGTCGTAGGCTTATTGCACTCGTACACAGTATGATTCCTACCCAAGCAATTAAAGCAGATGGAATTTTTGGCTACGAAGTCACGTCTTTGTGCACACTTTAATTTTGCAAATTTTTTACAAAAGCATAATTTATGGTAATCTGAGCAAATTTGCGCATTGAAACATTTGAGGCCAATAATGTTTTAGGTTTTGTACTCGGATTGTTATTATATTGTCCTATATTGGCCTTTTTTGTATCTGTGAACTCTAATGCACGGAACCGGCTTTCCATAAAACACTTTAAGTTGTTCTAAAGTTGGCAAATCATTTAAATCTGAAAAACTAGAAATATGTAGCTCCCACAACTTACGCGTTTCCGCATCCAATTTAAAGGTAACAATATGTATAACAATAATATCCCATGTGCTCACATCTACGTTGATGTTCTTAAAGCGTTCATACAATCCATGGTTGTGTCCAATAACTCTTTTATACCTGACGCGGATTCTACATATAACTGTTTCTGCCCAAACAAGCGTTTTAATATACAGTTTGCTAAATATTTTTTATTGTTATAACGTTTTTCTAACAGTGACCAACATGTAATATAATTTGCATCTGTTATTGGTGTGTCTTATTAATTGAGCAGCCTCACCCGTTAAATGTGTCTTTAAATAGTATAACTTCTGAACATTCTTGAGCAAATCATTATTATGTACCAATGAAACGAATAAATCGCGAAATGTCGTCCATTCCGAATAATTTCCGGAAAAATCAGGAATAGTTATTTTTGGCAATCTCACTAACGGGCTAGGCTTCTCACTATCAACATTTTTATCGTTCGATTCATTTTCGAATTACAAAAATTTATTTAAAACACTTTTCATTAAAGATTTATACACTAAATAATTGTCCTCAGTTATTGTTTAGATCAAATAATTTTGTATCATTTGATCTAAACAATAACCAATCTCTTTCTAAATTTTCTAATCTTGCTTCTACATATTATTTTGTTATTCTTTCCTTTGGACTTTTTTTAAAGTTTGATAAGCCCTTTTTGACAATCTTATTTAACTCATTCCTACAAGTATCCTTACTAAAATTAGTTCGTGTTTAAGTCGAATGTTAAAATAAACTTCTATAATGTATTTCATTATTAAATGTTTGTAATTATCAAAAGGAATACTTATATGAAAAATAAAGCAGCTATTATGTACTCTGTATCACCGTTTTTTATTTCCCCATCAAATCTATTTATCTGTAATATACAAATAAATCACTGAATTTGTTGCTAAGCGCAAATCTCGAGAGCAGCTGAACCGATTTCGCTAATTCTTTTTTATAATATTCCTTGAAGTACAAAGATGGTTCTTACGGAGAGAAAAATTTAAAATAATGCCTGAAAAAGTCTAAAAACAACACTTTCCTATATTGCCATACAAAAGATTCGTAATAATACTTAAAAGTCAATTTGAACTCTAATACTATGACATAAAGCTTAAGTGTTAGTGGAGGGGTTCCGGGAAAACAAAACGATTGAGTGACGTTAGTATCGTATACATATTAATGGCAATATTTAAAATTAAAAAAAATATTAAAATTAGAGAATCGACTGTTAGGCGGTACGAAGTTCGCCGGGTCAGCTAGTAAAATATAAATAGATATATACTTAGTTAAGTATCTACCTATTTATATTAACAATATGTTAAAAAAATAAATTCCCGAGAAACTGTCTATAGCAGTTAATATTTTTCTCCAAAGATTATAACTCGAAAATAAAACTTTCCGATCTGATTCTCGGGGAGTTTTTTTTAAACTTTATTGGGAGAGTCACCTGGGATTTTTTACATTTGAATTAAAATCCAAAAAAAGGCAGGTAGGCTCACCTTATTCCCAGGAATATGTTATATGAATATTTTTTAATTATTTTAGAACTATCATGGTAAAAATCCAGTTAATTTTTGAAGTTATTCAATTTCCTGTACTACACAATTTTTTAATTATTTTTTTTATTTAACGCTTCCTTAACAATCATTTTTCGATAGTTCTTGTAAGTAAAATGTACATCACTAGCTAACGCACACAATGACAAAACAAAATTAGTCACGCGTTTTCGGGCTGTCAGGTCACATGAGTAAAGAAACCGACCAGAGGGGAAGCTACATCAAACGGCTCGCTACGAACACACCCATACATAGCGCAGAGATGTGTGCGTGAGCTCTCACCGACAGGTTCACTGACGCTCCGTCGGGGTACAAACCGGTTTGCGCCGGCTCAGTCAGAGTATCCATGAAAGGGCTGTTTGTTAGTCGTGCGCATTTAAATAAATAGACTCACAATATTTCTAAATTTTATACATCAATTGATTTATTAGGTTTTTTTGCAATTATTAAATAATTAGATTTAAGTATTTTAATTAAAATAATTAAGAATTAAGTTATTATAAATTTATATGGGTAAATAATCAGTGTCTGTATAAGCAAAAATGCGTAATAGTTGTACGGTATGCATGAATAATTCTAGAGAAAATAAGGATATTTCCTTTTTTCGTACCCGAGAAATCAAGAGAAGTAAGTACCGTTTTACGTATTTAATAATATACAATAAAACTAGGTAATAACATTGATAAGTAAGTGAGAATGTGTTAGACAGGTATGTCACCGAGTGATGAAGTCGGTCTCACCTACTTGAAACGTTAGTCAGTCTAACCTTGACAGTGCCGTAGATGGCAGGATATCCTACCCACCCACTTTAGAGGTAGATTGCTTCCTTGTGAAGGATATAAGCTACTTTTTGCGAGTCGCGAGCCCAGGAGCCACCACCACCACCGCCACTGCACACGACCACCATCACAACCATTACTACCACCACCACCACTTACACCAACACTCTTGATTTCGAACAATTTATAGATATGTTGTTACATTAATATAAGTTATAATTAATACATATGTTGTCTTATGCTATACAATATTTTTATTTTTTCTTTAAATTTTTCACATGCGTCATGTGACAACCCTATCAGAATAGGTATAAATTTTCGAAGTTGTTAAGAAGCTTCCCCTCTGGTCCTTACTCTTTACTCTGTGGTCAGGTCGTCTATACGCCAGTATATTCTAAGTGTATGGTCTTATGGCACGTTTAGATTAATTATCGGACGAACAACTCGCGGAATAACTAGCCAAGTTATTCACGGAAGAGTACGACGCGTTTACGTATTCGTCTGTATTCATTCAACGTAATTTTTTTTATTTCAGCTGAACCATATACGTACTTATATTTTTTTTTATATATTTCGTCAAAGAAAGGCTGGTACCTATTAGAGAAAATTATAACGGTAGATTAGGTGAGTAAATTAAAATAATAGTTAATGGGTCAACTAAATAATGACGAGTATATACACAGGGATAGAAATACACACGAATTTTCCTTTGACTCGTGCTAAATAACTTACACATATGCATTGAAGTAATAAATATGTACTTACGTACGTAGTACATAACAGC